AGATGTGCCAGTTGCAAGGGAAATAATGTTATAGGCCAAGAATGGAGGTCGGATATTATGTCATGGGAACAATTTGTTAGTGTGATTTTCTCTCTTTGCTTGTCTTTCTGTGACTTCCAAAACTTTGCATGGTTTATAATCACATTTTGTAGCATAGGAAGGGATATTTCCTCTTTATTCTCTTATGGTCTTTATCTAGTGTGAGTGTGAGTGTGAGTGTGAGTGTATGCGTGCATCTGCGTGTGCATCTGTGTGTGGGTAGATATTTTTCAATGTTGGAAATAGATTAATGGAAAAGAAAATGTAATGACCAAGAACCCATGTAGACAGAGAAGCTCTGCTCCTCAACATTACAAAATAAAGAAAAAACGTTGCATTTTCTTTGAGGTGTGTGTGGTGGGAGTGCCTCGGGAAAGACCACCGTTGCCAAGAAAATTATCGAAGAACTGGATGTACCGTGGGTCACACTCCTCTCCCTTGACTCTTTCTATAAGGTGGGTGATTGGACACTTCTCTGCTCTCTTGCCCCCTCCACGAGGATGTAGATAGTGTCGCACCTCCTCCCCACACTTGGAACGTCCATTGCATCTGTTTGTTCCTGTGGACACCCTGGACAAATATGCATTATGCTCTTTTCCACTTTCTAAGTTTATTTTCCCTTAGCTTTTTCATAATGTAAAGAAATTTTTTTTTATTTTTTTTTGTCATAGTAAGTCTGATGCTCTTGTTAACTTGACTTGAACACTCATGCCAGTTCACAAAGCCTATAACATGCATGCACAACAGCACATAAATACTTGCACATGCCTCACTAGTAGCTCTTTTAGTTTTTCTGTGATGATTCCATCCAGTAATTTCTGGCATTAAAAAGTGTACATATTACTAATACAGTAACTGTAATTTTGTGAATAAGAGCTTGCAGGAGACCATGCAGGTCTTCACACACCATGCAGTAGTTTCCGTAGCCCAAAAGCATCTTTTGAGTGAACGAAACCCCAGTTAATGTAGTACAGTAGACTTAGATAATAAACCATTACATATAAAATCACTGTACAGCCAGACTGAATTTTTTTGCTTCTTCACTGAAATGGGTCATAAAATGGAACATTGGTTTCTTGAAAGTAAAGAAGTACACTTTATGTACACCAGTTCTTTATATATGCTGGTATATGTCAGGGTGGGGGCTTGGAACGTCCGTTCCCTGCGACAGGATGATCGGTTACCACTACTGTCGAGGGAATTGAAGCGGCTGAGAGTTGAGGTGGTTGCTCTCTCGGAGGTGAGAAGACCTGGCAGCGGCACGATTAGTGTGGGTGGCTACACTTACTACTGGTCGGGCCGCAGCGATGGCCACCATCTCCAGGGAGTAGCCATAGCCATCTCCAGCCGACTTCAACCCTCGGTAGTAGAGGTCACTCCAGTCGATGAGCGTATAATGGTATTGAGACTGAAGCTGTCATTTGGCTTCATGTCTCTTATTGCTGTGTACGCTCCTACGGATGTATATAAACTTGAGGTGAAAGAGATGTTCTACGCCAAACTTGCATCTGTGGCAGACAGTTGTCCTCGGCGAGATATTCGTATTGTTTTGGGCGACTTCAATGCGGTATCCGGATGTGATCGAGCTGGCTACGAGATGTCTGTCGGTCCCCATGGCTCAGGAGCTGATGCTGGCAGCGAGAATAGCCTCCTTTTCCGTGACTTTGCTAAGTCCCAGAAATTGAGGATCTCTGGCTCCTGGTATCAGCGTTCTGACCCGCATCGCTGGACTTGGTACAGCGATACGGGTAGGGTGGCCAAGGAGATCGACCACATCCTCGTCAGCACTCGGTGGAGGATCCTCCAGAACTGCAGGGTGTATCGAAGCGCCGAGTTCTATGGAACTGATCATAGATTAGTTGTGGCTACTCTCCGGGTCCACTTTAAAACCCCCCGTCGACCAAATGAGCACCCCAGGGTGTTTCATCTGGACAGACTGAGGGAGGATGAGTGTGCCCGGGGGTTTGCTGAGGCTATCTCTGGTCGGTTCACAGCACTCGAGGGCCTGACAGACCCTGTTGTTATGTGGGATTCCTTCAAGCGTGAAACGCTTGATGCAGCTCAGGAATCCATTGGTGTACGCCCTAGAGCAAGACAGAATACCATCTCGCAGGAGACACTGGAAGCCACAGAAGCTTGCCGTGCAGCTCGATTGTCAGGGGATCGCAATTTGCACCGTTCTCTGGCGCGCAGGACTAGGTCACTGCTGAGAAGGGATAAGGAACAGTTTATCAGTAATCTTGCAGAGGAGGTCGAAAGCCGTTTCCTAGTAAATGACCTTCGTCCTGCCTACCAAGCTCTGAGAAAGCTGAACTCCAAGCCCTCCTCACAGACGACGGCAGTCCGCTCAGCGAGTGGTCAGGTAATCTCAGATCCTGATGGGGTGCGTGTGCGTTGGGCTGAGTATTTTGAGCAGTTGTATCAGGTTGATCCACCAACAGTTAACTTGGATGCTGGGAATGTTGAGACTCCTCTGCCAGACCCACCCATCAGCGAGGATCCACCTTCCCTGACTGAAGTCAGGGGGGCGATCTCCAAGCTGAAGAGTGGTAAAGCAGCAGGTGTCTGCGGCATCCCAGCTGAATTGTTAAAGGCTGGTGGAGAACCTATGGCAAGGGGCTTGCATGCAGTCCTGTCTGCCATCTGGCAGACTGGTACCATTCCCCCTGACCTACTGAGGGGTATGGTCATCCCTCTCTGGAAGGGGAAAGGGGATCGGTGGGACTGCAGCAATCACCGAGGCATTACACTGCTCAGTGTGCCAGGCAAGGTACTCGCCCACATCTTACTGAGACGTATCAGAGACCACCTCCTGAGGCACCAAAGACCGGAGCAATCTGGATTCACTCCTGGTAAGTCCACAATAGACCGCATCCTGGCGCTTCGAGTCATTGTAGAGCGCCGTCGTGAGTTCGGACGTGGGCTGCTTGCAGCCTACATCGACCTCAAGAAGGCGTTTGACACGGTGCATCGCGAATCACTCTGGGAGATCCTGAGACTGAGAGGAATTCCATCAAGGATTGTTGGGCTAATAGCAAACTTGTATACAGGCACTGAAAGTGCTGTAAAGTGTGGTGGGGGCCTGTCGAGCTTCTTTCCTGTTAGCTCAGGCGTGAGGCAAGGCTGTGTCCTTGCACCAACACTTTTCAACACTTGCATGGATTGGATACTGGGTAGAGCTACTGTCCAAAGTCACTGTGGAGCAACTCTGGGCAATATCAAGGTTACAGACCTTGACTTTGCTGATGATGTTGCCATTCTTTCTGAATCTCTGGGAACCCTAGTGGCGGCTCTTGATGCATTTAGCAATGAAGCGAAGCCCCTGGGGCTAGAGGTCTCCTGGACCAAGACCAAGATCCAGGATTTTGGGGGCCTACTAGGAGACCCTGTGCAGTCGGTCCGTGCTTGCGGTGAAAACATCGAAGTCACTAGGAGTTTTATATACCTCGGTAGTGCAGTTCATGACTCTGGGCTGTCAGACCAGGAAGTCAGTAGACGGATTGGCCTGGCAGCAGGGGTCATGAAATCTCTCGACAAGAGTATTTGGAGATGCCGGTACCTGTGCAGAAGGACCAAGCTACGAGTTTTCAAGGCCCTGATACTGCCAGTTTTACTTTATGGTAGTGAAACTTGGACGCTATCTTGTGCTTTGGAATCTCGTCTCGATGCCTTTTGTAACAGATCCTTGCGCCGGATCATGGGGTACAGTTGGCGGGACCATGTGTCCAACCAACAGCTACACCGTGAGACCGGTACAGGACCTGTTACTTGCACAATCCGTGATCGCCAACTCAGGCTATATGGCCACTTGGCTCGACTCCCGCAGGATGATCCTGCCCATCAGGTTGTCTCTGTTCGAGACAACCCTGGGTGGAGGAGGCCTGTGGGACGACCAAGAAGGTCATGGCTTGGGCAGATCGATCAAACCTGTCGTGAGGAACTAGAGATGGGCCGGGCCCCTGCCTGGCGGCTCGCCATGAGAGACCCTCGCAGGTGGAAACGAAGGGTGGACGCGGCTATGCGCCCCTACCGGCGTTAGCCCCCAATGATGATGATGATGATGATGCTGGTATATTGCATTAACTCAGGAGCAGTTATTTGGTATAATGCAAAAACTTCTTATCCATTATCCAGATAAATGTAACATCGTAGATTTTCAAATTCAACTTGTAACAGTAACTGTTTTAATCAAAGTTACAAAGGAAGTTAGTCAGCAGTAGAATTATATGCCTACTACACCCTTCTAAATGGTGAAGCACTGGGGAGAGAATGGTTGCCATAGTCAGGAATGTGTATTAATGTGGTTACCCGAAGTTGAAATCATAATGAAACCATTCTGTCTTAAACTGTGTTCATCATTGGGAGAAGTGAGGGCTTTATGGGGTAGTTCTCCAAACACACACTTTCACCCAAGATATGAGCAACATTGGCAGGAAGAAGCAGACACTCACCTCTTATATATATATATATATATATATATATATATATATATATAAGAGAAGAAAATTACCTTTTCCTTTCTCTTTTTCAGTTCTTTATTGGAATAGGATTTTGCAGTGTTTATTTTTTAGTGTATGAGTTTAAATATTGAGAGATTCAGCTCTATGTATACATATGTATTATTTAGTATTGTAGTCCTATAGTTCATAATTGTATTTTTATGAGTAGATTTTTACCGGTTTTGAGGTAATGAGTTGTATACCATTACTCAAAAAAAAAAAAGAGAAAAGAATAGAAAAAAGATGCAGTTTTAATTAGGTTTACTTTTTAGTGGTACTCCCTTCCTCTCTCTCAACTTTTCCTCATTACTCACCGGGTGGCCTCACCTCCCCCTCCCCCCCACTTCCCCCTCTCTGCAGGTATTGACTGAGAAGCAGCATGAGGACGCGGCCAGGAATGAATACAACTTCGACCACCCGGATGCCTTCGACTTTGAGCTGGTGGTCAAGACGCTCTCGAGGCTCAAGGAGGGCAAGAAGGTGGAGGTCCCCATATACAACTTTGTCACCCATCGCCGGGAGACCAAGACGGTAAGGGGGGCGGTGGAGCTTAGGGGGACCGTGGTGTACAGGAAGGTTTAGATAGATTGTTGATACTACCGTGAATTGATACTAATTATATAATAACATTTATGATGATAGTGATAGTATTAATGATGTCAATGATGGAAATAGTAAAAATTGTTATTGATCATGATCATGATGATAATGATAATGATAGTTGTAATTTTGTTAGATAGCTGATAGTGATAATAGAAAAGAGATAAATGATAATAGTAATAAATATTATTGCATAAATGTGAGCAATAAGAGTTGAAAATTAATATAATTTCTTTTTGTTTTCAGAAAACCATGTATGGTGCCAATGTCATCATATTTGAAGGAATTTTAGCATTCTATTCTCATGATGTGATAAAGGTATGTTTTGGTTGATAGTTCACTTCCACAATGCCAAAAGTTCACTTCCTAAGTGCCATAACTGTTACAAAAAAAAAAAAAATTTTACAAGCAGTTTTACCTCTCTCACCTCAGGCTTTCATGACTGTGTTTTGTGGTCTTGTGTTTCCCTCAAGTTCGGAAATTTTACAACACACTTATACACTTAGATCTATGTTTCCCTCATGTTAGGAAATTTAATGACATCCTTTACGCTTGGATCCATGTTTCTCCCAAATTAGAAAATTTAATGACATCCTTTATATTTGGTTCCATGTTTTCCGTAAGTTAAGAATCTTAATGACATCCTTTATGCTTGGTTACACATATTGCATAAGTTGGAGGTAATAAAGGGCATCTTGAACTATTCAATTATTGGATATGACTTTTTTTTTTTAGTGCAAGAACATTAGCAACATTCATTCTCTCCCAGGTGTTAAACATAAAGCTGTTTGTAGTGTTAGTACATAAGGAACACAAAGAATATTTACTCCCTAATAGTTGTTAGATATGAAGCTTTACTTACAGTAGAGTAAGAACATTAAGAACATTTTTCTCCTCCACAGTTGTTAGACATGAAAGTGTTTGTAGATACTGACTCGGACGAGCGGCTGGTGCGGAGACTGCGAAGGGACATTGCGGAGAGAGGGAGAGAGCTAGACGGAGTGCTCAAGCAGTACTTCAAGTTTGTCAAGCCAGCCTTCGATTATTACATAGCCCCATCTATGGTAAGTGATGTCTCTTGGAGAGTTTGGTGAAAGACATTTCAGATTGAAAAGGTCAGAATGCCAGGGAGGTAGTTTTGGTTTTGATAATATGAATATATCGGTTTCATCAGGATTTACCTCAGATGGTTTAGAAAGCTTCAGTACAGAATGCGGCATGGGAAGTTTTTCTTTCTCATCTCTACTTATTTCAACAATTTTCATGTTGAACTTTGTTTGTCTTGGTCTCTTGTAAAGAAAGAATTACTGACAAGTAATTGAACCAGTTTTTAGAAGGACAATAGCAGCAGTTTTATGTTTGAGTTACTCTTGAAATGTGGTCCACTTTGCTCTTGAAATGAGGAAAAACATATGAAATCAAAGAAGCAAAAGCAGAATAAAAGAGAAAAGAAAAAGAGAAGTGAAAAAGAAGTGGATCAATAAATTTCAATTATAGAGAATCTAATAATAAAGTACAAGTGGATTTGATCAACATTTTGTGTGAAAAGCGAGTACACGAGAGATAACGTTTCCCTCTTGATTGGCGACAGGTCCACGCTGACATCATCGTTCCGAGAGGTGGGGATAACGAGGTGGCCATCAATCTTATTGCTCAGAATGTCATGACGCAGTTGCAACAGGTCAGTGGCCAGAGTTTTTTCTTTCAGCAATAATTTTCCTTTCTAACGATACCTCACTGATATAAATCCGTCTATGTAGATTAGAGTTTGAATGTGGGGCAAGTTTTTTCATAGATAATGAATTTGGGATGTGTCTAGTATTAGTGAAATGATAGCAATGTGTTGTAAACAGAAAGCCGCCTAATATCAGTATCACACATAAAATTGATTCTGCTGATATAGATTATGGAAAAGAAGTGTAAGACATTCAAGTAATTTATATAGAGATATGTAATAGTAGTGTATAAAAAAAAAAATCCTTAGATAAATTAAAAAGTAGAAGAAGAAAATAACAGAACAGTGAAGTGCAATTCGGGAATTACCATTAAAGAATATGAGGTTTTCGTGAAGGAAATGAACAAGAACACATGTTTTCCACCCATCTACAGAGAGGTTTTAAACTCCGAGAGAAATTAGCGCACGCTAACTTTGGCATTGTGAGACCCAATTCCCTCCACCTGCTGCCCTCCACGCCCCAGATCCGCGGACTACACACATTCATCCGCAACAAGGACACTCCCCGCGATGAGTTCATCTTTTACTCCAAGAGACTAATACGACTGGTGATTGAACATGCCCTGGCGCTGTTGCCGTTCACGGTGAGGACCTTAACTGAGCTTGGTCTACTTTTTCCTCTCTTTTTGTTGATGCTTGCAGCTACTTGTTTATACATGGTTCAGAATAAAGAGAGGATTCAGTCTAGTTTACAAGTTATAAAATTTCCTTATATCCTGATCAGAGATGGATAAACTAGACCAGCTTTCATTGGCATTTCCATCACAGTGAACATTTTCTGCCCCCAAGCCATGAGACCTAAGTATCCTTGTACCTCTTTAAGCAGGACGTGACCGTAGAGACGCCCCAGGGCATCCCATATGAAGGGAAGCGCATTGCGACCGAGAAGATCTGCGGTGTATCCATCCTGCGAGCGGGAGAGACCATGGAGAATGCACTCTGTGAGGTTCTCAAGGATGTACGCATTGGCAAGATCCTCATTCAGACCAACCTTGATACGGGGGAGCCTGAGGTGTGTGTTTTTCTTGTTCTTTTCCTCTTTTTGTGTTATTGATATTTTTGTAAATAACACTTGTGACAAAACTATCACTTTCTGATGTGTGTGCTGAAAGCAGTGGCTCTGTAATAGTGAGGGACTTAGTTTGGAAAGTTGTTATTTATAAGATTTGATTTGTTTTATCATGTTTTACATCAGTTTTATTATTTTTAGTGCCTTTATGACATTATTATTAATTAGGTCTCCATCATTGTTTCTAGCTATATTACTTGAGACTGCCAAAGGACATCAAGGACTACCACATCTTCCTGATGGACGCCACAGTGGCCACGGGTGCGGCTGCGATCATGGCCATCCGGGTCCTGCTCGACCATGAAGTGCCGGAGGACCATATCTCCCTCTGCTCCCTCCTCATGACTGAGCAAGGTGAGCACTTTTGATCTTTGTTGAAGGGCTTTATGTCACATTTTTGTTTCCTTTGATGTGTTTGAGGATTTGTGATGCAGTAAATATTGAAAATTATTGACATTAATTTTATTTATTTTTTTCACCAGGTGTTCATAACATAGCATATGCATTCCCCAAAGTACGCATTGTAACAACGGCAGTGGATCCATGTGTTAATGAGAAGTTCTACATAGTGCCCGGCATTGGAAACTTTGGCGACAGATACTTCGGAACAGAACCATCTGACCAATAATGGAAATGAATGAGGATCAAATGAGCGAGCGATATTTCCCACATGCCTATAACAATACCCAATGGCCTCCATCCAAACACAGGTGTTCCTGGAAATACAATGTACATCTTCCAGACTTGTAGACTATTTTAAAAACTCGTCAAGTGCCTGATATTGTTGTTGATACTTAAAACTTATAATAAAAGAGGCAATTTATGTGTGTGGTATGTGTTATAAAGGAAAAGGAAAGTGCTTTATCACTGTCACCAGTCTTTTTTTGGAAAAATTGTACAGCACATGAAGAACCACGTTTGCAGATATTAAGTGCATTTGCTAACTAGCCCATCAGGTTCTTTAAGCAAAACAAAAATAACCAAGAATTTTTTTAATCAGGTAATATGATATAATGCAACTTTTGATGCAAAAGTTGGTATTCACAAGACGAGCGTTGTACTGGCCACAACTTTGCTTGATGACGACTGGATGTGCTGAGCACATCGGAGTTTTAAAGATTGTTGTTCAATTTCATATATTTATCTCTTAGTTTTTTTTAGTTGTTTTTAGTAGGGAAAATAGAGAGAGCATTTTTGTATCTCTTTGTTATAAGACTATTTTACATTTTAATGCTCAGTAAAAAAGCGATAATATATGAATAAGACTTAGATTGAAAATATGATTATTTGGTATTTTGTTTGTCCTTAGTGAATGAATATGATAAGGATATGTTTTTAATAAAAGAGTTGTTGATTGTGCAGAGGACTAAGTGTTTATAATATGTGGTTTTAGGCTGCTTGTATAAATCTTTCATGCAAGTCACCGAGTATCATTACTTCATGAAGGTTTGTAGGAAAATTATTAAAATTTTAAAAATCACTTCCAGCCCAAGAATTCAAAATGAAAAAAAAAAAAAAAAAAAAAAAAAAAAGTAGATTAATACCTAAAGAGAAATGTTTTAGCACTGTTGAAGTAACCACTATTGTTTTACATTCTAATTTGTATCTGTCTTGTAATTTATGCATTGTGGCATATATCCATTGAGTGGATGCCTGTATATTTTATTTATTTTTGTCTAGTCCTCCCTTTGATTGTCATTGTGACGGCAGTATTAGTAGTGAATTAAGTTGATTTTTTTTTTCTTCTTTTTTAAAATCATTTTTTCAAAACTTTTTTTTTTCCCCCCCTACCATGATTTCATTTTATTGTTAGGCAGGTATTTGCCTCTTTTAAGGGTGATCGGCTCCTGTCCGGATCTGTCCCCTCGGCAAGAATTTAGACTATACTTTGTCATTTGCAATTCTGAGGTGCCATTTCAGCGAATTAAATCCGAGCGAGCATAGGGTCGAGGTAGCGGCATATTTAGGAATTTGGTACTAGATCTTGGTCGGTATTGATTTAGACACTTTCATACCCTATAAATACTTTTATAGTTATTAAAGGAAAGGTGAATTGAATAGTTTTCTTTTATCCTTTTTATAAATACTTTATTTATATAATTGGTAATAATGGGAAAAAAAGACCATATAGACATAAAAAATTTCACAGCTTACAAGTTGTCTCTGTCAAGCTTACACTTACCACTGACAAATTTTTTTATTACGTCCATAAAATCATTCGCACCAGTTTTACAAAAGAATGTCCATTGGAGAGAGAGAAATATAAAGCTCCCAATTTTTTTGCATTTTTTTTTTTAATCTCTTATAATAAGTAACAATCTTAACAAAAATTTGTTGTTGGTGTTCACAGGCGCCTTTTCCGTCTGCTGTCGCCATCATCGTCTCCTGTTGAATGAAGAAAAATATTAATGTATTTATAGTATGTTAATTTTGCAATGAGACTGGGTATACTTAAGAAAATCATTATTAACCTTCGTATGATTTTATATCACTGAAAGATAATTCTACAGAGATTTAAGTAAATTAGATCAATAAGATAAAAATAAACACTGCTCTTACATTCAAGCACTTCAGTATAAACAATCCACTGCATGATCTGAAAATCTTTTTAGTTTGTGAACAAATTTTCATTACCATATCTAGTCCATTAAACTTTTTTTTTTTTTTATAGAGAACCATTCAAATTATTGAAAGAAAGATAACTTTATTCTATTCCTTTATTTAAGAGCATTAGTACCTCCGAGATGGAATGAGAGGGAAAGAGGACAAGGAAGATGGGGAGAGGGAAAGAGGGAAGATAAGGGAGAGGAAGAGTGGGAGAAAGGGGAGACAGAGAAACCAGAATATTTCCCCTATCCTCCTCATCCTATATAACAAAACCATTCTTCCCTCTTTCCCTGTTGTTCATATTATTTATGAGTAAAATAAAGAAAATGACAAAAACAAAAAGAAAAAAAATATATACAGCATTAACACATGCAAAGTGATAACACACTGTACATAACACACACAATTTAATCAAAACCACAAATCTGAACTAGAAGGGAGAGAAAAAGAAAATATTAAGGTTGCTAATTTCTGAAAAAAAAAAAGGATATCTGTCTTACTGTATTTAACATGATAACTTGCATCTAATTCTAGAACAAAAACAAGAACTGAGAAAATGGAAGAAAAGATTCATAGAAATATATAATAACAAACTGGGTGGATGGAAACAGAAGCTAAACATACAGATGTTTTCATCTAAATAACCGACAATATATTTGGTTTTAGTTGTGATTTGCTTCTTGGTTTACTTGTAAGGTCGGTCTACCTTGTGGTCTTGGCGCATGATATACCTTGTAGGTTAAGTGCATGCATGATCTGTGTGGTCTACCTGCATGATCTACTATGTGGGACTGGTTACAAGATTAATTGTGTGGTCTAAGTGCATGGTGTCCTGTGTGGACTAGTTGCATGATTTAGTGCGATCTACTTGCATGATCTACGCGTGGTCTAGATGTACGTTCTACTGCTGCACTTCAGACACAACACAACCAAAAATTTATGCATGGGGTGACTGTATGAGACGATTCTAATAATTCTTTGATCAATAATTCTAATCTAGTATGAAAAATATATTTAAAAAGTGGTGTGAGAAAAACACTTACAAAGTTTAATAGAAAATCAATAAATGAATATATATACCCTTCCATCTCTATTCTTAATCAAATTTCTTTTTTATTTGTGTGTACCATTTTTTCTCTCTGGGAATATTTCTAATCATTAACAGTGGGAATCTGTTCTCATTTATTCAACACAATTCAAAATGGTAGATGTATGGAAAATACTCTTATGTCATACAGGACATATTAACACATGAAAATACTGCTAGAAAAGGCAATTTAAACATAAATCATAGTCTGTAGAAACATTCAATATAATTACTTGAAATATTTAAAAATTATCTGAAATAATCAAAACTTACAAGAACATATACTGCTTCTAAGTGAAGAAGAAGAAAAAATGTGATTGCTTTCAATTTGGAGGGGAAAAAGTGTGTGTGTGTGTGGGTGTGTTGTATTGTGTGTTGTATTGTATGTGTATTGTGTGTTGTATTGTGTGTTGTATTGTGTGTTGTATTGTATGTGTATTGTATGTGTATTGTATGTATATTGTATGTATATTGTATGTATACTGTATGTATTATATATATATATGTGTATATGTATATATATATATGTGTGTGTATGTGTATATATATATATATATATATATATATATATATATATATATATATATATATATATTATATATATATATATATATATATATATATATATATATATATGTGTGTGTGTGTGTGTGTATATGTATATATATATGTGTATATGTATATATATATATATATGTGTATATGTATATATATATATATATATATATATATATATATATATATATATATATATATATATATATACATATATATATATATATATATATATATATATATATATATATATATATATATATATGTGTGTGTATATATATATATATATATATATATATATATATATATATATATATATATATATATATATATATATATATATGTGTATATGTATATGTATATATATATATATATATATATATATATATATATATATATATATATATATATATATATATATATATATATATGTGTATATGTATATGTATATATATATATATATATATATATATATATATATATATATATATATATATATATATATGTATATGTATATATATGTGTGTATATGTATATGTATATATGTATATATGTGTATATGTATATGTATATGTATATGTATATATATATATATATATATATATATATATATATATATATATATATATATATGTGTATATGTATATGTATATATATATATATATATATATATATATATATATATATATATATATATATATATATATGTATATGTATATATATGTGTGTATATGTATATGTATATATGTATATATGTGTATATGTATATGTATATGTATATGTATATATATATATATATATATATATATATATATATATATATATGTGTGTGTGTGTGTATATGTATATATATATGTGTATATGTATATATATATATATGTGTATATGCATATATGTGTATATGTATATATGTGTGTATATATATATATGTGTGTATATGTATATATATATGTGTATATGTATATATGTATGTATATATGTGTATATGTGTATATGTGTATATATGTATATATGTATGTATATATGTATATATGTATGTATATATGTGTATATATGTGTATATATGTATATATGTATATATGTATATAAGTATATATGTGTATATGTGTGTATATGTATATATGTGTGTATATGAAAATATGTGTGTATATGTATATAAGTGTATGTGTATGTATATGTATGTGATTATATATATATATATATATATATATATATATATATATATATATATATATATATATATATATATATATATATATATAAAGACTTATCACATGCAACCTTTCTCACCTCTTAAAACACACTAACGTACAACGCTTACATTGGTGTTCCTATTAAACACAGTCATACTAAGCATATGCAGGTTCAACATAGCAAGGCTTGGATGCAAGAATCAGATCCAGAACTTGGAAAGAACAGCAAATGTAATATAAATAAACAGAACAATAAAAAAAAATCCAAAATAAATATATAAACATAACATACTTTACAAAACAAAATGTTTCTTTTATCATTACCTTGGGAAAGAGGCAGCAAAATATATATTTTCTATTCCCCAATTTTTTACTTCTAATTTATACCTAAATGAAAAGTACAGAAAATGCTGTTGATGTCCTAGAAAGATGCAGCAATGTACATGTGTAGTATACATACACAAAGGAGAGCTATACTTGGTAGCAGAAGTTTGTGATCATGTTACTTGTATTTTTCAAATGAGGTGAGCTAGTAATACTAAGTGTGGGGTGAAGCACTGTTATATGGTTATTGACTGAACTGTTTATCGTAACCTATTTTGACTATTTCTCCACAAATTATATAAATCTTCCTATAAACAGCACTATTAAATTCATTGCTCAAAGAAGTAAAAAGGAGAAGAAAGAAAAAGAAAATGAAAGATTTTATTAAGTCTTTTTTCTGCATAAGCATTGCTTGCTGTTTTGGCATTTTCTAAGGTTATCTCTCATATGATATGCTGTTTCAAGATGGTAATAGACTATTTCCATATTAGCAGATTCCATATTTTCTCTCTAGATAGTCCATAGCTCTGTGCAATAACAATAACAAAAAAATAATATTGTGTTAATTGTGTCATCTTAAAAACACTCCCTTATTTTTCAATCTTCTGTAACACACCCTGTGGCATAAAGACATGGCAGGCAGGAAAAGGATCCTGAGCATAGAAACTGTGTCCCCCTTGGAGCTGGTGCTCTGCCAGCCATGGCTCATTGGACATTCCATCCTTGTTTACTGGTGGAAATAATGCCAATAACCCCCTCCTAAATGCCCTCGGAGTCCAATCCTTCTCCTAGAGCTTTGTCCATTCATGGCGAGTCATTCCTGTCACCTCTGCCGTAGCCAAAATTTTCCATGATGGTTACGTCACCTGGATCCTATGGGATGCTTGTAATAAAAAAAAATGATTGAGGGACAAGTGACGAGAATGTCTCATGGTGAATTGCAGCCATATATTGGGTGACTTTTTATCATAAGTATACAAAGCACTAGGAGCGAGACTGACTCAGCAGGCCTTCTAAAAAGGGGTTGTAGTTCACAAGCTCCTGCAGATTTTCACCAGTCTATAAGGGTGATAATTACAATGCCTGGGAGAGGGCCATCTCCAGATAAGACACTATGTCCAAATACAAGACCCTATTCCTGCCCACTGTTACTACTGATGTAGAATGTCTTTTAAAATACTGAATAACATGAAAGTATAAAAGATAATACTATTACTATTATTGCACAGAGTGTAATGTACCTCCAAAGCACCTACAGAAAAAGGGGCTAAAAGCAAAAAGCCTTGACACCC